GGCAAAGTCCTGCTGGGAACAAAGGACAGGCTTCTAGACATGGGTTTAATGAGCAGCTGGGCGAGCTGCCCAGGGTCAGAGAGGGATCCCGTGCCACTTGGAAGACGGCTTGGTTCGGTCATGGGCTCTCTGGCCCCACGGTGATGCCTGGCTGAGGATGCAGGGCCCATTGCAGGAGGGAAAGGAGGATGGATGACGGAGTGCTTCCTGCTAGCCTGGGCATCCCTGGGGATTTACAGCTGCCGCACTTGGGGGGGACTGTATTCACTTTTGCTACCTGTTCCCATGCCAGCTTCATCTTTTGTTTTTTATTAAGTACTTAAGAATTTAAAGGCTGATACCTCATGTAAATCTCCTACAATTTGGGTTTTCTAGGCACAATGACTGAGCAGCAAAGTCCCCCCGAGCAGATGGCGACTGGGGAGGGTGCTGGCGAGCGAGGTGGCATTTACAAGGTATACTGGGGGCAACTGGTTACGGACGGACTTTGGGTGATGCTGTAGGTCACCGTGCATTGCAGCGTGCGTGCACCAGGCTAGTACCAGCACCAAAGCGCTGCAGGTTGTACTGGGAAGCAAGTGGCCTCCGGCTCTCCTAATGCAGCAACGCGTTAGCATCACCGCTCTGATAAATCTGCTCCTCGCCCACCGAGCCAAGCTGCGCGGGGCTGCGGAGGGAGGTTTTAACCGAGGGATTTGCTGCTGCCTGGCAGGAGGAGACGCTGCTCGCTGCGTTTGTGGCTGCCAAGTACATTTTCCTGCCAGTCTGGTGTGCAGCTGCGTAGCGTTTTAATCCAGGAGATAAAGTATCCTGTCACGGTGGGGATCGGCTGTAGGTTTGAGCAGTGAAACTTCCTGGGCATTTTTTTTAGGTTATAATTCTTATGCGCGTCAGTGGGTTAGAGGTAAATCAGCTGCGGGAGTTGCAATGGCTGCAGCCCTTCCCGCAGCTCGGGAAGCTGGGCAGAGCCGCTGCTGGCCAGGGAAGGCTGGAGGTGGGAGCAGATCCTGAAAATGGGGTAAGGAGGGGCCAGGAGCTTGGGCTGCTTATTGCTTTGGGGGGGAAATAAGCTCCTGAGGACCACGGCTGTCACCTCCGTCCCTTGATACCCCCATCACGCGGTGTCTGCAGGAGGTGCTGCCCTTGTCCCAGGCTCAGGGGTTTAAGCTGGGACCCTTTTGGGGTAGAGGCCGGGGAGCGCCCGGGCACACGCGTGTGCAGCCTGGCTGCCGTGCTGACCCTCCCAGTCCCTGAATCCTGCCGGGCACCCTGGGCCATGCTCCGGCCGCTGGCGTGGGCTCGAACTCCTCTTGCAGCTCAGCCTCGAAGCCCTGCCGAGGGCGGGGGGTCCTGGGGAAGCGATGCGGTCCTGTGCCTGGCAGGGTTTGGAGGACAACACTGAAAAATGAGCTTGTTCCAGGCCAGGCCAGGAGAACAAACGGATCTGGAGGGAGCAGCGAGAAGGAAAGGACGGGCTGTGACCGGGCTGGGGGCAGGAGACCGCAGCCCACTGCCCCGGAGGTCTCCTAGCACAAACCCTCTGCTTTCGATGCTGTTTTCATCCTGTCATGGGTGAAATATCAGCCTGGTTTTACCGAGCAAACGTCTTTGGCCGGTACCCGGCTGTGGAGCGAAGCCCAGCAGCGTCTGTCGGGGCAGAGGCACATGGCCAGATCCAGCCTTGCCACAGAGGAGGGACATTGGCGCGGGGGGGACACGGCCAGAGCGCTTCGCTCCGCTGCTGCTTGCGATTGCCAAGGAGGGGTCCCGCACCGGTGTGAGGTGCTTCCCCCCGGCGTGGCTTCAGTGGCAGCGGATGGCATCTCTTTCCCCCTGCCCCTTAGATCACGATCTACGAGCTGGAGAATTTCCAGGGGAAGAAGTGTGAGCTGACGGAGGAACTCCCCAACATCGCCGAGAAAGAGCTGGAGAAGGTGGGCTCCATCCAGGTGGAGTCTGGCCCGTAAGTCCAGGGTGAAGAGGAGGGACAAGCCCTGGGGTGGGGAGGGCAGGGAGAGCATCCCCCATCTCCCGCTCACAGGGAGCAGCGGCGCTGCCTTGTACGGAGCGGGGGTGACCGT